GGCGTCCCGGCGTCCCGTCGTCGTCCCGACATGCCATCGCATCGCGGCCCAATCGTCGGTTGGTGCCACGCGACTGGCACGTGGCTCGCAATTGCGCTACCGTGCCCCCTCGGTCACGCCCCGCTGATTCGCCTCTGCTGCCCTTTGCTTTTGCATTCGTACACGATCATTTCTAGCCGCGGACTCCCTCTGTTACCCCTTACAGATAACTGGACCCTTTCAATGATACGTCTCTCGGTTGTTATTTCGCGCCACGAGCCGCACTTCTGTTGTAAAATTACGGTGCCGTTGTACGACTAACCTATCGTTATATTGTAGAGGGAGCAAATATTATTTTTTCAATTTTTTCAATTGAATACGCGGAATGATACACCAAGGGTTTGATACTTTTTATTTTCTCAAGTTGGATCACGTTCATGTCTTTTGCTGATGTATATTCACTTTGAGAAATGTTTAAAATGTTTCCTTGGAAGAAAAATTATTTATAAAACAGAGAAAAATAAAAGAAAAAATAAAAAAAAAACAAAAAGAACAAATTATGTTCATAGTTTTGATTTGAATTTTTTAAATCAACTATATAGATATATTAGTTCAAAGATTAATAATTTTAATCATATGGAAGACAAAACTAAATGTATAATGGTAAGTCAATTGATCAATGTTATTGATCGAATCAGCAATCGGCATCAGAACTAACAATTGAAGCGCGTGTACGAACATAATAATTCACTTAGCTAAAGCAAATCTTGATCAAATCTTTTAGTGATCGTGTTTCATGACGAGTGGCGCTGTCAGCAGTACATTGTTGTAAAGTTACCTGATGATTCGGAAGTCTCGTTGCGAAAAACTCGAAACTTACCTGTTCCCGAATGCTGTAACTCACTGATAGTGCAACTTTCATACCAATTGTCGAATAAACGAGAACAAAACTAAAGGTAGCAGAATGAGGGAAGAAAAAAAAAAGGAAGAAGGTGAGAGAACGGGCACCGCGCCATAAATCGTCGTTTAACCTTAAAAATCGTCGTTGCTAATGGACATTTGCTGTCGAACCTCGAGAAATCGTTGCGCTCATAGCCGCGAGAATTCTTTCAACGACATTGTGCGAAGTGCCGCTCGACAAAGGAAGAATAAAGACTTGTGTCTTACTGATTATCCAGTTCGTGTACTATACTATACTACGGCTTTAGATACATTCGAGTCAACCCCGACGAGATAAAGCGTTTGTTTTGCGCATGCTTGCATGAAATGCGCTCAGGATGCAGCATACTTTGAGGAAGCTTGTTTTATTCCATAGAGGTAAAACTCTCATCAGGTAATTTATTTAAATATTGCTTGTTCGAGAATTTTCTTGGTATTTAATATTTGTTCAGGATTAGGTTTCCATTATTTATATTATTCTATTAACTATTATTCAATTAAATTAAATTAAACAAAATTTAATTTTCTTAAATTTAATTTTAAAATTCAAAATTTCTTCCATCCATAAAAAGATTAAAAGATCCATAATCAAAATTTCTATTTTGAAAAAAAAAACATTTCATACTATAGTAGTTTTCCAATCGTTAGCGAAATCAACTTTTAACTAGCCTGAAGATAATCGAAAACCTCAAGGGGTCGAATGATCGGTCGATCCTTTCGGTTCGCCAAAGTCGACAGGCATATCTGTTCGGGACAAAGTGCGGCACGATCGTAAATTAGCTGTACCGATGACGTGTCGGAAGATGGTTCCACGTGGACAAGGGGATCGCCACATGGCACGAGTCTATGGGGCGGAGAATGAATGCGGTATTCTTGGTATAGTGATAGCTTGGGTGGTGGCATCGGAAGGCCGGTGTCATCTGTTGCATCGGTTACATCCTGACTAGCAAAGCGTGACCGTGCTTGGTAACCGGCTACTATAAATGTGATGTAGGGGATTAATTATCTTCTAATTGCCTAATAGAACGTTGTCACTCGAAATCGATGGTTAAAAATTGTTTTGTAACGAGCGATCTTGTCAACAGGAAATTTCTAATTGTTAAATCATATGAAGGATAAAGTATAACAAGATCATTTGTCACTTTATTTAAATTGTTTAATAAATTCTTTAATAAATTCTAAATGTTAGAATAAATTTTGAAAACTATTTTTGTCGATTCATTCTTATTTATTATAAAATTTCATAAAATTTTATGAACTGTTCATAATTATTATTAAAATAATTTTTAATTTTATTTTTAAAAAATAACATAAAAAAACAAATTCGTTTATTCGTGACCTGACTCGGATCTGTTTCGATCTTTCGAAACACTTGTTCGATGTACAAAGCTTATTTATCTCCCAATAGTGATATCGACATGATTGTTCGCGCGAAATTTGATGTTCACGTGAATGCACCTACAGTTTTTGGAGGCATTCATTGAAATCATCTGTTCGCCATATTTCGGACAGAGCGCGTGCCGTGTCGATAATATGATGGTACGTGTTCAATGACAAGCGGTAAGAAATTGCAGTCTGAAAAAATTGGCATCAAGATAATAATTTATGCGAACAATAAAAACATATGGTTCGACAATCGAATGAAATTGAACACTGCATCTAATGATTTAATAATAATAGTTTTTTTAATTAATATATCTTTAAATAAATATTTGGATTTTCCTCAAAAGAGAAAAGTCTGTTAACCTTACTTGTTATTATCACTTTTGTTGAGAATGTCTTCCCATCAGCGGCCATCATATCATAGGCGTACTTTTCTATTATTTTGTCATCTTTTGTTTTTTTATTCTGTTAATTTTTTTTTCTCTTTTTTTTTATATTTTTATTTTCTTTTTATTATTTTACTTCTTTACTTTATCTGTAGCTTTGAATAAATGGTTTTGTATAACATATACGAATATTTTCTTTTCGAATTGTTAAAAATTTATGAAATAATTTAAATAAAAAAAAATATATATATATATTAATTATACATTACTACATTATTACATAATTACTACATTACATATTAATTATTCATTGATATATATTAATCATAAAACATAAAGAATTCGATCAAGGTCATAAAACGATCATGTATTCAAAATTTCGAGTTTCTTATTTTCATACAACTGACGCCACGCGTCAAAATCATAGGTTAGACCGATCGACGATGAACGGAAAAAGAGGTGTGAAAGAGGTTTCTCGTATTGAAAAGATTTGTGTTTTTGGTCAAAATGCGGCTTAATTTTTTTCTAAAAATGTAATAACTACACTTGGTTTCGGTTTTCGCTCATGTCCTATGAATCCCATAATTTCATTGTGATTCTTTTTTCTTTTGGCGCCTACTCGTTTTCTGTCGCCGCACTCTGACGCTTTTGCGGTCATAGAATACAAGCGGTCGATATAATACAACTGGAAATTATGAATCTTCAGGATCATCATCCTAATCGAAGTATAATTTAGGCGACGCTTTCAACGCGCGGTGTGCCACCACAGATATTAGGTAAATAATGAAGGTTAGATGTGGAAAACTGACAAGAATGGAACGATAATTTTGTATCGATACGCATATTGTGAAATCTATGAAATTGTAAAATTAATCTGTAACAAATATAAAATTTATATATAATATAAATTTAACATTAGAATTCAAACTAGGATTTAAACAAAAGTTGAAATTCATTTTAAAAATTAGATATGAGCATTATAAATATATACTGAAAAGATACGATAAGATATCTCAATTCTAATTTTACAGATTATATTACTATAAATGCATAATTTTCCTTTAGTGATATATTTTATTTAACAAAATATTATATAATATTATATAAATATTGAAATATTGAAATTTTTCACACTATGCAATTGATGAAACAATTTTTATTTTTACCTGCGCAATTTACAGAATATTGTATGTATAATGTATACGTTATGTTTTTACTGACTTATTATGTAATTTCAATTTTTTTTTTTTTTTGCACACGTCACATTGATCGTTTATCATTGCGCCTAGCTATAGGCCAACTTGCACAGTAAAAGTTTACTCCACTATACACAGATGTCGCAGAGATTGTAACTGGTTTCTCGCTAGCATTCGGTTCATATACCAATCTGTATATAATAGAGATTCCAAACTGAAAGCATTGGTGAGATCCGTGGCGCCGCCATACGCAATGAACAACATTTGTGAAGCACAAAACTCCCTCTTCTTTTCCCTTCTTTCCTCTTAGCCTAGCAAACACTCTCTAGCGTGTGTTTCCTACGCTTCGTCGAAATGTATGTGTGTCATCGCTATATAGTTTATGAAACGTCTTCTTTGTCGAGTGTGCGAATCGTTTTTGGGTTCGAATGGCAGTGACTATTGGCCCAGGATTCTCTTTATTTCACACTCAAAAAAGTGGTGTACTCATAAATCCGTCATCATGACGTTAGAAGAAATTAAGCTATAATAAATGCTTGCAAAGACAAGTTGAAAAAGAAACAATTATAAATAAATACCTTGACAAACAGAAGTCAGGTTAAAAAAAAAAAAAAGCGTATTTACTTCTAGCATGATCACTAAGTGGAAACTCTTCTCTCCCCTCTCTCCTTTCGAAGAGAAAATCGTTGGAGCATCATTGTGTGTGTTTGTGTGCTTTACTTTCTATCAAATTGTCTGGGTGTTTTCTCCTTACCCTTTCAGTATGAAAGTTGGGAAATGCGTTTGGCGACGCCATGTTTGGTCTCATCTTTTGATAATTTTACTTTTCAAAGTATTAAAAAATTTATTTTTTTAAGCATCTTTTTTATTCTATATGTTTTATATTCTATATATTTATTTTATATTCAATATTGTTATGACATAGTGTTCCATGAAGAAATT